GAATGTGAGCAGACCGTGCGCAACTTGTCGTATTATGGAAACACGCGAAAGTGTGCAGAATTTTGCCCCAAGTCCAAAAAAGTCCAAAAAATCACGTTAAAAAACCACGTATTGGGCTGCACGGCGGCGGGCGAAGCCCGCCGCCGTGCAGCAGGACTTTTGCCAGCACCCTCGTGACGTTGCAGATATGTGGCTTGATTATTGTAGTTGACGTTGATTTAGTGACTTTGGCAAGTTTGAGTCGTGTCAAGAAGTCAGGTAGGATTCAGTACTAGGCAGTAGTGAAACGTGAGTGGCAGTCTTTGCCGGTTTCTGAGGGCATCCTGGATTTGGTGTGCACCGCTGTGGAAATGGCTTGCTGTGGAGGTCCCAGCACTGGATGTTGTATCAAAGGTACGACCTCGTAGCACGTGCTAAACCTAAAAAAATTCAAAAATTGACTTGGGCCTGTGGGAGTCCGCGAGAGAACGCCCACTCGTTCCGTTGTGACAGATTCCAGGGCCACGTAGAGGGGCCCTACCCCACCACCCATGGCTGCTTCTGGACTTGTTTTAGGTTTGGGTCCCGCCCACGGACAGAATGGGCATGAAAATGTGAAAAAAATGTAAATGCATTTGTTTGGCTCCTGGGTGGCTCGCACACCGTGGCACTATGCCGGAAATTTGAGTTTTTCCGGCCTGGAAAGCCTGTCAGTGAGGCGCAAGAACTTGTAAATCATGTCCTGAGGGCCAGCATAGTGGCAGGAGTGTGTGGTCAAAATTTCACTCAAATCCACTGAGAAACACCAAAGTTACGGTCAATTGAATGCCATATGAAAATTTTGGGTGATGTGCCCCCTTAACCTCTCTATTAACACCCCTTCCCAGACACGCAATATGTCTCAGGCACAATCGATTTTCTATGGAACTCACATGGCCAGCTACTCATTACACACAGACTAGCTGCTCCATACATAGCTAACGGTAATGCTAACAGTACAGTCAGACCTCGCTGAATCGCACACATCCGTTTTCCACAAAAATATCCAGATAGGCGAGGGAACTGGATAACCGAACACCGGTTACATTGGATGCATCACGTATGCTGTAAATCTGTAGCCAGCTATTTTCTTCCGGGTCGCGAGGGATCCGGATAAGCGAGGTCTGACTGTACATCACACCCAGACCCAGAGCTACAGGCCAGGGCCTGTCACAACATTGCTGACCTCTGACTCTGTGGCTCCAGCAGATCCTGTGAAGTACGTACATGTGCATGACGAATAGCGGAGTCCTCCGGATCGATAGAGTGCTCAATGCGGAAGCAGAGCAGTAACACACGAGTCACAGGAAAACCACGCGTCTTGATTGTCGTAACTTAAAGTTTCATGCCATATAGCAAACCTTAAGTGACGACAATCAAGACGCGTGGTTTTCCTGTGACTCGTACATGTGCATGACTGTACTTCAGAATTAGGTTGTTTACATGCTCATCATGTCACATGTAGAGACTACACAGAAGACTCTCTACTCTTGGTCTCCTTTTTGGTGAAACACACTTGCAACATTGCACATGTTGTAAGGTTGCCTAACTTAGTTACATGTACATGACTATTGCATCTAGTCACAATTCACACACCTACGTGTGGTATAGCAGTGCTTGGGTTTTCCGGGGCATCGGAAAGGTTCCTTCTCGAAAGAGTTTTGGACAGGGGTGTATTTGCGGACAGTTCCTGATCAATAGGCCAGTTTGTCAATACTATAAGTACGGAATTAGCACTCCTCAGCTACTGGTATGTGAATGCATAGCTCATACCGTACTGCCATGCGTGCTATAGTGGCTTACCAGCAATGCAACCGATGGTAAGCTGTGCAGCATCTCATCACTGGCCAGCAGTGGAGAGAGGTAGGCCGGCGAAGCATTCAGGATGGTGGCATGACGTTGGTGGATGCCCGACTGCAGCTGTGACAGGTGACCGGTGTTCAGGTGATACTCTGGCGTGTTGGACAGGACAAGAGAAGAACACCATGAACTGGTACTCACAGAGCAATCAGCATTGCGGAGTACATCCACAGCATAGCCTAGCAGTGGGAGCACAGAGAGACTGAGAGAGTGGATTCCAATGACTTTAAGGAGACTATGGCTGCGTTGACACGACAACGCACGGCCAGTTTTCCGTTTTCAGTCCCCCATTTCTTTTTTCGTTTTCGTACATTTACACGATCAAAGCCGATCCGAGGTGGTCTCCGTTTGTACCGTTTTCAAGCGTCTACACGAGAGCAAAGGATCCGCCGAAGTTCGTCACGTGCCAAGTGTTGCCATGGAAGCACCAATCACACTCAGGTAATGGTTGAAAACAGGCACACGACAACACACGTCACATGACGAAAATTGTAAAAAACAATTTTTTGAATTGTCGGATCCGTGTAAACGGCCGAAAACGAAACAAACGTGGCGGAAAACGAGGCCAGCACACCGTTTCGACTGTTTACACACCCAAATTTATCCGGCAGAACATTTCCGTTTTCAAATTCTTCCACCTTGGCCAGCGTTTTGGTTTTCCTCCGTTTTGGTGTACAACTTTTACGTTTTGTTCCGCGTACCGTGTAAATGAACCATGGATCCGAAAGGATTTCGTTGCGTTTTCGCCCCCAGCGTTGTCGTGTAAACACAGCCTATAGCAAGGGCAAAGGCAAGTCACACGGTCCACGTCAATCAAACACCTGCCTCTAGTCACAGAGCTCTCTGTCCTCATCCATCACCAACGTTGCATCAGATAAAGAAAGCAGGACAAAGGAAGCGACGCAGTTTTGTTTCAATTCCAGGTGATGAAAATCAAAGCTCGAGGTGATGAAAATCAAAGCTTGAGGTGATATGCACACAGCTAACCAGAAAGTGACAAAATCACAGCAAAGCACTGTAAAAGTACAGTGCTGCTCAATGAAATCCGGTCGTGTGAGTCAAGTTTGCGCCTTGCACCATTTCGCAGCCCAATGTTGGCAGGTCTAGTGCAACGCCCAGCACGTACGTGAGTGATTCGACTGGATTTCATTGAGCACCACTGTAGGTTCTTTCACATTGCATAAGCACAAGACATGAAGTGTGAAAGTTGATTGTCGATGTGCTAAGCACGTGACTTGGTGTAGTTTCACCGTAGTACACGTGGACACACACACACACACACACGCACGCAGAGGGAGACTGCAGCCTACAGCCAATTCCGTCCCATATTGTGCGAACAGCTCTCATATTGGGTGCACTGAGCAACCTCCCAGAGAAGGTGCCTACGTTGGCGTGGACAAAGTAATGTTTCGGCTATCATTGTCACTACGTCGCATACAGTCAAACTTCAGTAGAACATGCAGGGAGTAGTAAAACGCCGGTATTTACGTACTCCCTGAGTGTACCTCTAGGGGACATCCACCTCAGTGATTCACAGGTGAGGTACTTCACACCTGAGGTCTGGGAAAGAATACGCAGGGTTGTCGAAACAGCACTCCACATCCGATGAAAGGAGAAAAGGGTGTTAGACCCTGGGTATTTAATGTTAAAGTTAAAGGGGAAGTCCGGTGAAAAATTTAAATTTCAGGGTTGGTAAAGTTTCGGCCGCTGAGTCGAATGGTGTTGGTCCCACATGTCCCCGACAAAGCGTTCTCGAGATATTTCCGTTTGAAAAACTGAGTTTCGGGGGCTGCGCCATGACGTCATGCGGCCGCGCCACACCCTCCGCAACGTCATAGCGTGCAGCTAGGTCAAAAGGAGTGCGTGAAAGCAATAGTGTCAGTGCTATTTCAAATGATTTGGCGACCCATAGTAGGTGGTGCAAGCGACTCCGAAGACGTAACTCCTTGTGAGAGTGAGGATGCAGCCATGGCTGACCTTCATGAGTTCGGTCTGGGGCTGAGAACCTCGGTATTCAGCTGAAGAAATGGCCGCGCGGGCCGGTCAAGAGTGAGCGCTACTGAGTTTCCGACTGATGAAGAAGCAGCAGCTATTGCAGACGAAGCCGATATAATTATCAGCTCGCTGGAGAGCAGAGTCGCCAAAAATGAAGAAGAGTGATGCGAGTGCTCTAAGACTGAATGTTGTTCCATGCCGATTCGCTTAGACTCCAGTAACCTGCCACATGGTGATGTTTTGGTGCGAACTTGGCGTATTTCGGACACTCAATTGGAGAACAGTGCAGGCTCTTTGAACTACGTGCACGACTCTTCGCTCGCAACGCTACGGGATCTGAAAGTTCTAGGTCCGGGAGCTGTTCGCTGTTTTGTCACTTGTCACGGTTGTGCACTCATCGCTGTAGCATAAAATAATGAGGCGGGAGCGGAAAACTAAAATTTTCTTTCTCAAAGCACAACCACCACCGGCAAGGAGAAACGCTCGTTCTCTGACTACACGACTGATACGAGTGTAGTACATGACAAGTCCGTGTGTTGACTAGTTTTCCGAGTCTTGTGACTCGAGTCTTGTTGTACCTATAGCCTAGTATGCCTACCCCAGCATGGCAGTGCGGGAGTAGTTCCGTGTGTGATGAGTTTGTTGACTACACTACAGGCAGCATGCACGCAGCGCATTGCTAGAGCCGTAGATAGAGGCCAGTGCATGTCGACGGAAAAAGTCCAACTCGGAAACGGCTAAAATACGGTATAACCTCGAGGTTTACCGAGCTGAAAATCACAGGGTACGTAGTGTTTGTAACACTGAATCGAATGGTCTTGGTCCGAAGAAGCTGCGACAAACGGTTCCCCAATCGAACGCGCTCCGAATATGGCCGTTTTTGTACACATCTAGATGGTGTGGCCACCTGGCTGCACGCTGTGACGTCATCACCTGGATCTGGGTGAGGCGCGCTCAAATCCGCACATGTTCGATTGGGCGTATCTGACGAACCATAGGCCGCAGCCTCCTCGGACAAAGACCATTCGACTCAGCGCCCCGAACTCTACGGACTGTGAAATTTAAATTTTTCACCGGACTTCCCCTTTAAACTTTTATTTCATGCCACCTTGCTTGTCACACACCAATACCGCAACCACATTAGCTATAATTTTAAAAGTTACTGTCTCCACGCCGACTGTTCACATTACAAGGTAAGGGTATATATTGTGAAATGGGCAATCTTATTTGCACCGAAGGAATTTTTACTTGGAGTGACAGTCTATGCACCTCTTATCAGCTGTCACTATCCAAAGATGCCAACGTTTGCCAATTCTAATTTGCTAATCCCAGGAATGCACTGTACAGTGAAATTTCCAAGGAAAAGAAGAACTGGTATCTCACCTGCCACTCCCCCGGTACGCATTCAAACATGCCCGCAGCATTCCAATGGGTAACAGCGGATCCATTACGCTTAGGCAGCGTGCCGGTCACAGATCCAGTGAGATTTTCAGAGCAGGGTACGCTCCCAGAACCAGACACGGCTTCCGAAGCTGGTACTGCGCAGCGAGGAATGCCACTCCGAAGACAAAGTTACCTCCGGCCGAGTCGCCGGCCAGGATGACTTTCTCGGCAGTGGTGCCCAGGCTGGTGGCGTTCCTCAGCACCCAGGCGTACGCGTAGAACAGTCGTTGACGGCACGTGGGTACGGGTGCTCGGGGGCCGTCATGTAGTCAACGGACACCACGGGAACGTTGAGCTGGTTGGCCCAGTGGCTTAGATAGCTCTGTATGAACAATACACCACAAGGAAGACACATGCATAGGGTATACTAATATTATGTACAGTGATGCTCAATGAAATCCGGTCGCGTGAGTCAAGTTTGCGCCTTGCACCATTTCGCAGCCCAGTGTTCGCAGGTCTAGGGCTGCGCAACGCCCGGCACGTACTTGAGTGACGCGACTGGATGTCATGGATCAGCACTGTACTATTGTATATGGGGCCAAATGAAAACCTGGTGCACATCCGTGTTACACACATGATACAGTATCTTTTTATTCCCGTAGCTATGCAGAAGACGTTACGAAGACGTTACTTCAGTAACGTCTGGCGCTAGCCAGAGTCCACACAGCTTTAATTTGGTGTTTGTTTGTTTGTGTCACGCCTGGCGCTATCCCGTATCTGTCCCGTACTGTACCGTACCAGCAAAGACAGCTGGCCACAATATTTTTGTTTGTTTGTGCCATCGACATGCCTGGCGCTATCCCGTACCTGTCCCGTACCATCAAGAGAATGAGTATATATGCGAAGTGTATCGGGGGAATGCATTCAGTGCAGTAACATTTTGTGTGGATTTGTGTGCGAGGCCGAGATCCCACTACAGTGCATTTCAAAACTATAGACGCGTAGGGTTTTTGAAATATTTCAAATTTGGCTGGAACCTTTTGAGAATAGTTTTCGGAATATTGCTCAGGACCGCTCCACAATTACTCTCATATAGTTTCTAAACGATTGGATAACAGACGCCCAATTTGGAAAAAATTATGCACAAAGTGATCACAGATTTTATGTTGTATAGATGCTGGTATAACGGTTTTTGCCTAGGTACGCGTCTATAGTTTTGAACTGGACTGTAGCAGGCTGGTTGGGCCGCCTGTCGACCAGCCCGGGAATCGCATGTAGGCCGATAGCATAATAATTATAACGTATAATTATACAGTCATGTAGATGTATAGCAGGGAGTCATATTATGTAAACGACTTCCTGCTGTATGGGGAGATTTTCTGGAAAGAAATACGAAGTAGGGAGACGAGTAAATGCAATCAGAATGGATGTTAGTTGCCGTCAGTATAATAATAATAAGAAGAAGAAGAACGCCCGTGATCGGCAGAGCCAGCGCCGGTCCCAGGAAACGTCAGGACAGACATCCCGTCGACTCCAGAACGCCCGTGATCGGCAGAGTCAGCGCCGGTCCCATAGCTATGCAGAAGACGTTACTTCAGTATCTCATTGAAACGTTTTTGCAATACAATGATGTAGCTAATCAAAGGAAAAAGCATTTCCATCAGTTCTAACAACATGCACGATGAGCTAGGCAACAAAGCATAGCGGAGGGCCCTGAGCTTCTAAGCTCTCTCGTTGGCAAGGGCAGCGGAGAAATGGATGGAGCATGGCAGCAAAGCACACCCATTTGTTTCCAATGGCCTACCACATGTGACTGTGACGTTTGCGCCAGAAACCCTCCACCATGGAAGTGAATGATGACTGCCTTAGAAGGCTCAGAGCTGGCACTCTGCAGCAAAAAGAGAGTGTTGAGCATGGTACAGAACAAATCGTCAACGTCAACCGCACATGGCATGATAACACCTTTGTTTGTTTGTTTTGAAACTCGGGATGTTTTTTTCTTCTTTTTTTCTCTACAAAATCCACATTATCTCCAGACACTGGGGTGAATAATGGAGTGTGTATGTGGTGGTGGGGCCCATTAAAGGGGAAGTCCGGTGAAAAATTTAAATTTCAGGGTCGGTAGAGTTTCGGCCGCTGAGTCGAATGGTGTTGGTCCCACGTGTCTCCGACAAAGCGTTCTCGAGATATTTCCGTTTGAAAAACTGAGTTTCGGGGGCTGCGCCATGACGTCATGCGGCCGCGCCACACCCTCTGCAACGTCATAGCGTGCAGCTGAGCTAGGTCAAAAGGAGTGCGTGAAAGCAATAGTGTCAGTGCTATTTCAAAATGATTTGGCGACTGATATTAGTTGGTGCAAGCGACCCCGAAGACCTGTAACTCCTTGTGAGAGTGAGGATGCAGCCATGGCTGACCTTCATGAGTTCGGTCTGGGGCTGAGAACCTCGGTATTCAGCTGAAGAAATGGCCGCGCGGGCCGGTCAAGAGTGAGCGCTACTGAGTTTCCCGCTGATGAAGAAGCAGCCGCTATTGCAGACGAGGCTGATGTAATTATCAGATCGCTGGAGAGCAGGGTCGCCAAAATGGAGAAGAGTGATGCGAGTGCTCTAAATGTTGTTCCATACCGATTCGCGTAGACTCCAGTAGCCTGCCACATGCCATGGTGATGTTTTGATGCGAACTTGGAATATTTCGGACTACTCAATTGGAGAACAGTGCAGGCTCTTTGAACCACGGGCACGACTCTTCGCTCGCAACGCTATGGAATCTGAAAGTTCTAGGTCCGGGAGCTGTTCGCTGTTTTGTCACTTGTCACGGTTGTGCACTCATCGCTGTAGCATAAAATAATGAGGCGGGAGCGGAAAACTAAAAGTAATTTTCTTTCTCAAAGCACAATCACCGGCACCGGCAAGGAGAAACGCACGTTCTCTGACTACATGACTGTACAATACGACTGATACGAGTGTAGTACATGACAAGTCCGTGTGTTGACTAGTTTTCTGAGTCTTGTGTCAGTGACTCGAGTCTTGTTGTAGATACTACCCCAGCACGGCAGTGCGGGAGTAGTTCCGTCTGTGATGAGTTTGTTGACTTTACTACAGCAAGATAACACACTGCACGCACTGCAATCTCTGCATGCACGCAGCGCACAGCGCGTAGAGGCTGACGGAAAAAGTCCAAATCGGAAACGGCTAAAATACGGTATAACCTCCAGGTTTACCGAGCTGAAAATCACAGAGTACGTAGTGTTTGTAACACTGAATCGAATGGTCTTGGTCCGAAGAAGCTGCGACAAACGGTTCCCCAATCGAACGCGCTCCGAATATGGCCATTTTTGTACACAACTAGATGGTGTGGCTACCTGGCTGCACGCTGTGACGTCATCACCTGGATCTGGGTGATGCGCGCTCAAATTCGCACATGTTCGATTGGACGTATCTGACGAACCATAAGCCGCAGCCTCCTCGGACAAAGACCATTCGACTCAGCGACCCGAACTCTACGGACTGTGAAATTTAAATTTTTCACCGGACTTCCCCTTTAAGCTCAGCCGACCAGAGGTCTCGGCTTTATACCTCCATGGACGCACCAAAGGGGGATCGGGTAGGAGTATTCAAAAGACCACGGACAGCTAATGTACTCTACGGTCGCTGAGCACACATACAAATGTCACCTTACTTCTCACAGTGACTTACATGAAGGCCGAGGCACCGTTCATAGAAGCTTCTCCGCTCCATACTCTCAGCAGTGTCCAGAAAGTCGTCCGGAAACTGAGTATGATCAACGATCAGGTCGCCAGTCTTGTCCACTTGCACGACAGCGTAGATGACTAAAAAGCTGCGCGTGATCCCTGAGCAGCTCCGAATGTTCTTCAAGTGCTGACACAGCCTGTGCGAAATCTCTCTTAGTATTCGATGACGTAAGCAGTGACTTGATGATGTCATCAAGCGCCAATGTACACGTGGAGAATATGGATACACTAGATCGCAGTCCGTTGCTGGCTACACCCGGGTAAGCATTGTAGCGGGAACATTGCTGCAGCAAGTATAGTAAGGGATGGTGCTGAGCAATGATCCGATCGCAGCGCACAGCATATGACAAGCGGAAGCCAATCTGGACCTCTGCTCCGGGCTCAGTGCTCCGCCACCGTTGCTGCGCTGTTCCTGCTGGAGACGCTGCACTTGCGCTAGCAACCCTTGCAACGCTGCGGTTGTGACACGCGGAGTGGAATAGTGACGCGCTGCACTGCGTGACGCCGGGCATTGCTAGTGATGGTGTGTCACCAGCAACGCAGTGTACTCGCCACTACCTGTGTCCGCTACCCTCACCAAGCTCCTGGTACTGACAACAGCTACTGAGCAGGGAGCACCGGTATGCTGTTTCACCACACGGCTACACGGTGCAGCTGGGCAATACGTCGAACTGATACAGCGGGAGCGAGAAAGCAGCAGCTTTGAAGCAACGACAGGTCGAGTGGCGTTACGTGCTACTGTTGATGCCGCCATAACAAGAAGCTAGGCAATAAGAGTCCCTTGCCAGGGCAGGCAGTCCAATTGTTTTCGAAGGTCAGGCAAAATCACAAGTCCTGCGGAGCACGTACACGAACACATAAACAAAGCGCATGCAAGGCAATTGCAAGCGCTTTATTATTATTATTATACGCATTCCCGCGTTGAAGTGTAGCAGCAGTATGCTGCGTCCACAGCTTCGCTTATGCAGAATGGCTTGGGTGAGAGGAGAGGGGAGAGAAAGCAACAAGGCAACCAACATCTATGAAATTGGCCACAATAACATGAAGAGAACCAACCACACACACCATACACACACAAAACAGTTGTGCACGGCACATTCAAAGTACACACTGCTCACACATGAAGACACATAAGCACATATGCACGCGCACACACACACCGACACACAAGCAAACAGAGAGACAGACACACACACAGATGAGACTCTGACCAAACACATGTACTAGTAAAAGACCGCATGCACAATGTCAATGTGATGCACACCTCCAAGACGGAATGGGCGCTTTCAATAGTACACATACTACTTCTGGTGCTTTGAAGATCCAGAAAACCCCAGTGTAACACCGGCTTTAGCCTACAGGTTTGTACACACTGTGGGTGACATTGCATACAAGTAGATCAGCACATCTAGTACGATTGTTCTTCCACTCAATCGTCCCTTCGTTTCACAGCACAGAATAGCTGCCTCTCAGCTGGTAATCAGCAGGGACATTCTCTACTTGCGAAGACTGAGTGATTGCCAGCACTCGCCCTTTCCTTCCACAAGCGATGTATAGAATAATAATATCACTGTTCGAGTATTTTTCTTTCAAATCTGAGACCATTGACAGGATCGGAAGGAGAGCTCTACTGCAAGCCAGAAGTCAGGCTGGCGTCAGGCTGGCGTGAAAAGTAACGAATTCAAACCACTCCTCAACAAAATCATTACCGTTTAGCAAAGAAGCTAGTTCCAACCAATCCAAGTAGAGTGACTTTCAGGAACTAATCCAACGTCTTGTTCATTCAAAGACAGTGCTTTTTTCGCTTCTGCACTGTCTTTGAGTTACGAGCAGGGAGTCGTAAAATACCGGGGTATTTTACGACTCCCTGGTTACGAGATGTATGCGCTCAGTCGCTCACCTGGGTCACGGCGAAGTGTCGTCGCTCTCCCTGCTCTCCGGATCTCCGCAGCCTACACAACGCTTTGAGCTGGCTTTAGTCCTTCGCAATGCGCACGAAATGGGCACGGGGAAAGACCGAGTCGCGAGCCTGCACGGCGCAGCCCCTGTAGTCCGTGAGCCAAAACTCAAAATCACAAGTGCCGTTGCACTCTCGGATGGACAAATCGCCGCTTATGTAGATAATCAAGCGAGGTACGGAGGGCTTGATGGCTGATCAAAGCCCAAGGGACCAGCCCGAGGGCCGTAGGCCCGAGGGCTGGGCCCGAGGGCTTTGATCAGCCATCAAGCCCGACTGTACCTCGCTTGAATATGCTTCAGACGATCCCACCCACACAACATCACTTTTCGGTTGCATCGATCAGGGTCAGTTCGTAGATCTACAACTGTACGCTGGCACATGGTTTTGTGGTGATATTTTTTTCATGACTTTGACCTCAATTTCGTGTGTTCAAATATGGAAGAATCAAATTTTGAGTAAGATATACAGATGAGTAAAGCACTGGAACTCGAAGCAGTAGAGCAAGTGAGAGTTAGGAATTATTTGTGATTCACAGTAAAGTGGATGGTTGCGCCTTGGAGATTGGCTCCCTGAAACAGATTCAGAGTTGACGCGGCCGGACGAGACCGATGGCTGTGCCGAGACAGGTGCTGGCGGTAGTGCCACTGGCGGCAGGGCCAAATCTCCGAAAATGTCATTGTCAGACATTCCCAGGAGTAGCTGGTGGTGGCTTCCTGCTTGCTTTGTTGCCGTGTTTTCCGAAGCGCCACCCTGGTGGTTCTTGGTGCTGAAGTTCGTGTTTAACGTGTAGTAATCTTTGCCTTCGTTGTCCTTGCAGAGCGTCAAGGATTCCTTTGTCAGCCGGCACTGAACTTCACGTCCCCGGAGGCCATGGTGGTACGTCAGGTAGAACCAAACTTCCATATTTAGGTTGCTTGGCTCTTTCGAGTACAAAAACAACTTGTTAATCTTTGCAAAATCCTCGGTACTGATAATTGCCTTGGACTGTGTTGCGTTTAGTTCGCCCTGCCGTTTTAGTTTCTTCAGGATTCCGTCGTAGGCTTGGTTTGAACGGCGGAACTCAGGATCGGTGAAGATATTCATGTCACGGTCAGTCTCAGCTAGGTGGCGATTGATTGCTGCTCTGAACCCCTGGTAACTGCTCCGCTGGTAGTACTCTTTCTTCTGTGTTCTTATACCCAAATAAGTCTTACATAGTGCTTCATTCAATTCGTCCTTGGAGCACGTGGCCAGATCAATATTGGTTCCATTGTCGGCAGCATAATCCATAAACACTTTCACCCATCCCTTCGTGGTGGACGATGTGCTCTTCGGTACTCTTTCAGTGATCACAGTGTCCACCTCCTGCACTGAAACGGACTCGAACCGGCGCTTGGCAGTTGGTTCCGACGATGACTCGGCCATATTAGGTAAGACACTTCCAAAAAAGGTAAGAGCAAGGTAAGAACTCTACGCTCACTCTGCACAGGAAACAATAAAACTGATAGTGCGCATGAGCAGTACGATAGAGCTTTGATGGTTTTTGCGTACCAGGAGCGGGCTTTGATGGCAAATCAAAGCCCGCTCTCCGAGGCTGCTGATTGGTCGTAACCTAGCAAAGGGCACGTGGGTCGTTTGAAGTAGACAATCATAGAGGTCTGGCAGGACTTTACGGCTGAATCAAGGCCGAGTGCGTACGGCCAAGGGCGCAGGCCAAGGCGCGTAGCGCCGAGGCCTGCGCCCGCGGCCGTACGCACGAGGCCTTGATGAAGGCGAAAAGTCCTGCCAGACCTCTATGATGGTGTTTCAGGTTTTGTCTTTCGCCTTTCTGGTATAAAAGCAAGACACGTATAGGGGTGGTGGTCGGGGACGTGGTGGATTCAGCTTGTGAGTTTCAGCTCCTTCAGCTTGTGAGTTTCAGCTCCGTCCGCTTCTCATGGATGGGATGACCCTTGGTCCATGATCTTTCGCTTCTCCAAAATTATCAGAAAAGTTCGTCAACAACTCCTTTTTTTAGTACATCATAGAAAGTGGAAAACTGATCGCGATGTGTGCCACTTATTTCAGCTTGCTTCTTAGCAGATAGATAGGTGCATGCTCTTTCGCTTATTCACAACTATCGTAAAATTTCATCTCCACTCACGACAACAAGGACTTGAGTTGAAAACTGACCACGATGTGTAGACACTTTTCATGTTGCCGTTTTCGGACAGGCTGTTTCCAGGTACCAGAGCATGTTCACAGTCGAATGTGAGATGCGAACTGAGCTGACAACGAAAAACTGCCACAGACCCCTGCAGAGCTAGGCTGACAGAGTACGGGGTGCCATTGACGACGGGCTTTATTGCTACCGTATTTTTCCGTATCCATTGACCACGGGCTTTATCGGCTCATCAAGGCCACCGCGGGAACGTCGCTCATTGGCTACAACCATAGAAACGGTACGGTAAAAACCTGAAAGGCCTTTCACACGACGGGACAAAGTCACGTCTGTTCCAGGGAGTCGTAAAATACCGGTATTTTACGACTCCCTGGTCTGTTCGGGCTCACGGGCGGATCACCAAGGCGATCATCAAATGGCGGGAAATCTGAATCCGTAGACCCGACGGTCTGCCCGCGACACCCTGACCCCCTGGCTGTGCGTTTTCGTTTTCGATTTCGTGTTTCCTGTACTGGTTTGGCTTGTGTTCGCGATCGCGTCTTCTCACTGAGCGTTTCCTGAACAGCAGCACAGGTCCGACTTTCTGAACAATGGCCACCCGGACATTCAGCCCAGAATCCGAAATGATGCTTATCGAAATCTACTGCTCCCTACTTGAATCGACTGATAAAATGATGATGACGCGAGCAGCAAAAGAAGACAAAGCAACAAAACGGCTGAACGGCCAAAAGGATTTGGGAAATCGAACGAGGCACTCCAAACCCTGTAGGCTGTGAGCCGATTGCCCTGTCCGGACCCAGTTGCCCAAGGCCACGGAAAACAAACAGCAAAAATAGAGCAAAGCTACGCGGATTTGTCAAATCCTTGGTCCTAGAAATCCAGTCAAGAACGCCAAAGCAACAAAGTCGTCTTTTCAGTCTTGTTCTACTCCAACATCAGGCAAAGAGAGTTTGAATTTTCCCAGGAGGCATGAAAATAAAAAATATTTTGATTTATTTCCATCAAAACACGTGCCTCCATTACAATGGACCGTATGCGTGTTAAAACAAAATGGCGTCACGATTTATTGAAAGTGGTATAGTTGGTGGAACGAGTGTTCAAACCCATTTGAACTTCATACTGTTCGTCTTCTTTTTGACATGCTCTCTTTCTATCGTCCTTAGCTTTTATTTGTTGAGAGCTGTTTTGGCTTTCTCCTATACCTCTGGGGGATGCCAAGTGATGGTTTTGAGAGGCTGGTGATGGCTGTGAGCGAGAGTTTGCTGATCGGCGTCGTCCTCGCTATAGCGATGAAAATACTAGTTACTGCGCACCTGGCACATATCACAACACGTCGGAGCGTCCAGGAGCAAAGGAATCTTGGGTTTTCACTGGAATCTAGTTCCTCCAGCATCGTGTAGCCCACCGTCGGTGAATGGCGGTCCAGAAAGGTCGAAACTGGTCTTCTGCAGCATCTCGCAGTCCTGCGAGGCACACTGAATACGCCTGTCATGTATTCTACAAATAAAAATCACGAAGTAGTGGACTTTACAGTGATGAGTCTATCCAGTATGCTGCAAAAGACGCAGGAAATGTGACTGGTGTCCGTACACTGGACGCCAATATCATCCCAGTCTTCTCCTGCAGGATCTGTTTGACATTGACATACCGGTATGCAGTGGGTCGACATTGGCCTGGTTTGGCAGCTATCTGCCTGGGTGGATGTAGCAGGTTTGCATTGGCGCGTCGTCCAGTCCGACATTTTCTTGTAACTGTGGAGTACCGGCAGGGTCTGAGAGGTTGCTCGTGCTGTGAACACATCTCTACTGCCTGTCTCGTCCTGGAAGTGCCGTCTCGCCGCTTCCTTGCTCTACAGTCACGCCGTTATTTCGCTTTGTTTCGTGGTGCAGCTCAAAACCTGCCCAAACAACTGTGAGCTCGCAACATGGTATGGACAAATTGCACCA